TGTGCAGGACACCTTGTCTCATCCAGTGCTGTTTTCAACTGTTCCCAGCAAACCAAGAGGAAGCTGGACGATGCAAATAAACGACTGGAAACGCTCTACGACAAACTCCGAGAGGAGACGGTGAGTGTTGTGCACAAGTCACTCAGACTAACAGATTATTGAATCAAAGCTACATGAACATTTAACTGGAAACAAAGCTCAGTAATAAACAGTAGATTTGATGTACCGTATTTTCTGGCCTATAAGTTGCATTTGTCCAAAATTGTCTAATAATTTGGAACAATCCATAAATACGTCACTTCATTGTATATGTCGCATCTATTACGCATCACCGCTGACAACCCAGAAATGTGGGCCGGTGTTGTGCCAAAAATCAATTGACTGCCAAATGATGGCTGCGGAAGCGTGCACGGGAGGACTTTAACAAGAATTTAACAAGATTAACACTTAAAGACAATTATTTGTTTGTTCAACATTATAGTAAAGGTGTGTCTCGGTTGAACTTTTACTTAATAAATGCACTTTATTGGTCAAATTAGCTGCATTTCACCGGGGCGGCGCAGTGAAATGAAGCTGATTTGACGGTTGCTCCAGGCGAACTGGACGAAGGTGGGTACTGTAGCAAGCTGACTGTGTCATTAATAGCCACTTTTACCTATTACATGACACAACCACATGCCATACTGCTCAAATTCCATCTAGCGACTGAAAATGGTAGTGTTTAATATTTTCATTGTCAGAATGAATTAAAATGGTCATCTCTCAGCCAAAAATAGGTTCATAAATATGGGGAAAAAAATCCATAAATAAGTGGCTGTGGCGTATAAGTTGCAGAGCATGTAAATTATGCAAAGAGGTGCAACTTCTAGGCCGGAAAATACAGTAATTTCTCACTCAGACTGCTTAAAGTACTTTTTCACTGCTCAGTTTGTGGAGCTCAGAATCTGAAGCAGCTCTGTCTTCTAACGAGTCTGACCTGCTTTAACTACACAAGTGACATTTGGTAAACTCGTTATTCCACTGCTAATTAAACTTCCTGTTAACACTAAAATTGAGATTGTTTTTGTTTTAAATGCAGCAAAGTAAAAGTGGAAATAACTATTTGTAAAGAGGGGCTAACCCTAACCCTAGACATTTTGATTGGTTGTTGGTGTTCATGAGCCCACCGCCTGCTCAGGACTTTTTCTGTTCTCTGGTCCGGCCCAGAGTTGGTACTGAGTGGGTTGTGGCTCCGGAGGGATCAGAGGTGGAAACAGAAAGTTTGTACTAAACAAGTTTCTCACTGAGCTACGACTCTTAAAACTAACTGGAAGCTAGAAACTGTGAGAAACTTTGAAAATTGCAGTCTCATTGAAATGTGTGACTCCACCTCTACCACACAGACAATTATCTGTAGTTGTAGGCATTTTTGTGTTGGTTAATGTCTGTTAGCTGTGGCAGCCATCTTGATTTGACCCTTGGAAGACCTTATGGGGAAAATTAGCCACCCATATACTGTATTATATATCCTTAGATAGAGAACTTTACTTACTGGCTTTTCTATGTATATGAATGTTTCTGTTGAGTGCCCTGAGACAGATTTGTTGAATTGGTGCTATATAAATAAACTGAATTGAATTAAATTGAACTTTAGTGCAGAGCTTCCTGTTTGACACCGTTCCACCTGAAACAGATTCAGCGTTCACACCAACATGTCTGTTCCTCTGCAGCTTTCCCCCGCCATCATAGGTGGACTTCACAACATTGTGAGGACCATCGAGTCTCGATCGTACACTGAGGGCCTCAACATCCACACTCACATCATCAGCAGCAGCAACTTCAGCGAGACCTCCGCCTTCATGCCCGTGCTCAAGGTGGTGCTGACCCAAGCCAACAAGCTGGGGGTGTAACGGGTCAGACAGTCCTGGGTGTTTGACTGGCGGCTTCAAGGTGAAGGTTTCCATCAGCTTCATGTTTCACAGGGAGCTCCAGCTGACTCATTTAAACGACTTCGGAGTCATTCAACAACAGTGTTCAGTTCTTTGAGGCATTTCTGTTTTTAAGATGCAACTCAAGTACAAGCAATCAGTTCAGGGGTGGAAGTAACATGAGCTAAATAAGGGCTGCTACAATCTTAAATCCCTCAAGATGTCAAGTCAGGTTTAATTCAAATCATGAACATGCTAAAGTTTTTTTTAACACAATTTAAAAAGCCAAAGAATAAAAACTAAAGAGTAAATTATGTCTCTATATACACTAACTGGACTAGACTGGACTGGACCAGACTAGTTGAGGATGCTTGCATTCATTTTCACAGAGGGGTGGGGGATTATGGCATATCCTGACAGTAAAGATGAGCCCACCCACGACCATGAATTTCACTGTACAGTAGTCCCTCGTTTATCACAGGATCCATACCCTGAAGTCTCGTGATAAGTGAAAAACCGCGAAGTAGGAATACAAGTAGTACAAGTAGTAAGTAGTAGTTCATTTTAGTGTGTAATCCATATGTATGTATGTG